TCCAAAATATACTCTGATGTCTCCGAAATCCACTCCACCACCTTGGTTCAAGAAGCCTCATCTTGCCAGATGATTACAAGAGCCTCCGAGCATTCCCAGTGTTTGTACAGCATCTTCTCCCCACCCTCCACCCCTGCCAGAATGCATCACCTCTGTCCGCAAGGGACCCTTGGACCTGCTCTGCCCAACCATTTGCTTTGTTCCCTGCCTCTCTTTCCATAAAAGCCACCTTTTTAGAGAAGCTTGTCTGGTGACCTTACCCGCAACGAACCACCCACACCACACATCAGGCTGCATCCCTCCCCACGGCTTTCTCTGTTTTCCTGAAAGTTATCACCAGCTACCATGCTGTCTTCCCCCAGCAAAATGCAAGTTTGGTGGGGGCAAGAATGTTCGCCTTCCACCCCTCTGCACTGCAGTGATTACAGCAATCCGCACTGCGTGTGCTCTGTAAAAACTTTTACTGACCATAAAACTGGATAAAATGATGGCTGATTATTTAAACTCTTGTGTTACTGACACTCTAGGAAGGCATGTTTAAGGACAAGAACTTCTCCAGCACCTCTGGGTACCTTCTTATACACAACCACATACCCACAAAGGTGTACTCACACCCGGGGCGGGGAAGAGGGCAGGCCCAGGGTGACGCCACGTCTGGGGTGTGCTGCGAGCAGCCTCGGTTCACTCTATTGGCCCTGCTCAAGGATGGCCCTGATCCTCACACTCCGGTGAATCACCCTGCATTTTTTTTCTTTCCCTAGCACACTCTAGGGACAAAAACCAAGGGGGTAACCTGATTCCTGCCCAGTGCTGTGCTCTGGCCCATCAGTAAGCCCTGCAGGCTCTCTTTCCAAAATATATCCAGGATCTCACCATGCTGCCCAACTCCACTGTACTGCCTTCGTTCCAGGCCCTCATCTCCACTGGGTATTACCACAGCCTCCAGGCTACCTCCACTGCATCTGCAGCCCATCCTGAGCGCAGTACCCAGCACCCTGACAATCCTGTCCCCCTTTCGCCTCTGCTCTGCAACTTCCTGTGTCATCAAATGGTCAACCTCTCCCGCTTCCCCCAGACTTCTGTCTGTGGCCTTGCCAGCTTCTATCTGCAAGAATTTGGTGGCAGTGGTATGGATTGCAGTCTCCACGGACTGCGGTACCTTGAGAAACATCATGCTTTTCCCATCCCTGTTTTTGGCCTCGTACCCAGCAAAGAAGCAAATGCTTCCTTAATAAATGTCACCAAATGAACTAAAAAGAAAAGAAGAAACAGTCCAAAAATCATGATCCCCTCACCCAAAAGACTGTGCAGACCAGGACCTGAGGTCACCAGGTCTCCCTACACAGGTCGGTCTCTTTACTCAGAAAAAACACGGAGTTCAAGTTCTTTAAAAACAAAACTTGTGTTTTAAAAAAAAAAAAGTATCTCATAAGGTGTTTTTATTACCAATGCATAAATTGTAGATGTTTTTCCTATCTTGTAAATTCCCAAATTGATTCCTCAAACATGGAAGTAACTACATGGAAGACTAGGTGTGTCTCACATGACCAGCCCTCCACTGGATCACCGCACTCTAACAGAACCCTGCCCATGATCCTGTTATCCAGGAACAACACTTAAATCCAGGTCTTATCCTCTCAGGGCTGGAAAGGGAGAGATGTCACATGTACCACCACACATGGAGGATTGTAATTTAATGTTCATTGTGCTCTAACGCATGGAATACACAGGGAGGCCACGGAAGCCTCCAGAAGGTCTATGCAGAGGCAGCAACACAGGAGGAAGGGCATGAGCTCTAGAGTCTGCTGAGGTTCGAACAACAGTTCTACCATCGTGTACTCTTGGAAAATCAAGCTCCCCCGGCCTCAGTGCCCACATTTATTAAGTGCAAAAAATAAAACCCTGCCTCTTAGGCTCGTTTAAGAGAATGAAATAAGATGTATACAGGGCTAGAACAATGCATCGCACATAGTAAGTGTTTGTCACAGTTTGGCTACTGTTTATGGGATCCATGTGTCTTGGAACCATTTCTGAGCGTGTTCCTGTCCTGACTGGTGTGAACTAAACATCACACTGCTCCAAATCATCGGGCCAGCAAAGAATCTCTGTCTTGACCACCATGGGAAGCCTTGATCTTGTCTTAGAGAATTGTGATCAAAGACAGCACAGAGCACAGGAGACTCAGATGCTGCCCTGGCTGGAGCACCACATTCTCTCATCTCCATCTTTGTCACAACCTGAGCACAGAATATGGTGACTACAGCCACTCAGAGGTGTTAGGACCAACCTGGGACCTAGGACGAGACCAGGTACACCTGCCCTTGGCCTGCAGTCTGATTCCCTCTCCTCCTCCTTCCCTATAACAGAAGCCAGAATTCTCTCCCTACCAACACAGGAACGAATGGCTGACCACTCCCTCTGTTTCCCTCAGCGCTGAAAGAAGGTGGGTCCTGAAAGAGCGGAGGCTCCCAGGACTGATGCCAGCCCCAGGTTCTGAAGCCAAGTGTTCTCATCCCATTAATACTGCCAGGGTCCATTGCTAGGAATTTCTGAGTCTTACTTTCCTAGCCCTTAGTGCTATGATCCATCTGCCTGATACACCCAACTCAGAACACTGAAGAGAGGACTGAATGGGGAAATGAGTTAAGTGGGGAAAAAAGTAGAAATTCATGAAAACCGTACACAAAATGCAACTCTAATAAATGATTACTGGCTCATTTGTCTTCCTTCATATCTATGTACAGGCTTGATGCTTGAAACCATGCCACTGTAAAGATTTCTTCTATCAGAATAAATCATATTCAAGGAGAAAAAGAATTTATTAAAACTATCTGGTGATAAAGGTCAGTGATATGCCAATAAATAATATGCAACTCCTGCACTGAAAATTAAGCACAAAACAAATGTTTAGGAAGCAGAATTACTCAACCAGCAGTGACCATTAATAAAGTGAAAATGGATTGTCCATGGAGAACAGAAATAAAACAATTAGGTCACATTTGGAGATCCATTTATGCCTATTCCAAAAATAATGTAGTAAAAAATGATCAGTATTGACCATTAGATTGGTCCTACCTGCTGTGATGTTCAAGTCACCTTCAGAGCCCTGAATAAATCCAGGTAGAAATGTACAGTGAGGCTTTTTTCAAATTCACACAATTTCCCCTAACACTTCCTCATATTCCACTTTTTTTTTCCTGCCCAAGAACAAACACCTGATTTTAGATGCTCAGGGGGGAACTACCTAATCAGAAGCTACAACCTAGGAAAGGGCTCCAGGAGAAGACAAATAGCGGCCAACAGCTACAAAAAAATCTCACACTTTCTGGGCACCTCAATGCTTTCCTCTCAAGCAACCCTGCTGGATAAGTGCCCTTTCGTCTTTCCAGATAGATCATTTAAAGCTTAGAGTGGAAAATTATCTGTTTAAAACACTTCTAGCAAAGCACTTATATGGAGTTAAAAACACATGCTATGGAATCCCAAAGTGTAAGCTCCATGTGTCCTCCGAGATGACCAAGAGCTCTTCTTCTAAAACCTAGGGCAAGCAGGGATTCTTGAAAGATTTCTAGGCACTCAAGAGACTGTGTGGCACAGAGATGGAAGTGGAAATGACCTTATCCAGAATCAAAGAAGGGATGAGCAGAAACAGTCATATTAGCTGACAATTTCACTGACACTACTGCAGATGTCACCATCATCTAAAAACTGTAGTAAAGAATTGAGTGGATAGGTTCATGAAGAGCATGTTCAAAATCTAAATCCATATGGAAGTTAGAAAGTGAAATACTGAAACAAAAATTTTAAGTCCAATGGATGAATGTGGAAATATCTGAAGGGCAGGACCTAAAAAAGGCTCAGACAGTATTAGCTCTGATTAGCTTCCAACAAAACTCAAACAAGAACTTGTCAAGCTGGAAATAGTCATAAAGAGCAGAGACAACATTTTGGGAAACCATAGTAAGGCAAAATTAGACTAAAGTACCAAGAATTTTTAAAATGGGATTAAGAACAATAATAATCCTTCTATTATCCCAACTCAGGCAATTGACATGAAATCAAGTATAAAATGAGAAGAATATGCTGACTAAGAGTTTCCATTCAATTTAAATTTAGCCCGGTAAGAAGAAGTAAACTCGACAGGAAAATAAATGTGTGGACAATAACAGTGTTTTCAACAACCAGCCACTTCTCTTCTTCTAAGAAAATTCTAGGGCTTTCCTTTTGACTGAGATTCTGTTTGACTAATGAATTGTTTAATCCAAAAGAAATCTGCAGCAAGAATACGGTCATCTCCAAAAACCCTCACTGATATTTACAAATCCTTTTGGGGTTAAATTTAGAACAAATGTTTTTTCGTAATTGTATTTCCTGCTATTATAGAGTGAATTAAAACTAAGTAAATTTTTATTCAAAAAACTTATTCTGTGTACACGTAAGTTACTTCGGTTGAGAACACCAGTAATTAGCGCACCTATCTGAACAGGTAACGGAGATAATGAACAGCATCACACCTTGGCTAATTAAAGCAGAGAAAACCTGGCAGTCGAGGGGGTACCCAGCTTGGTGAGTCCACCATTTCAGTCTCGTGCTGGCCACTGCCAGGGCAAAGCTCTCTGTCTCCCTCTCATTTCCCAAGGAAAACTTCTCAGTGGCAAGGACCATCCCAGCAACTGATGCTCAGGAGGGTCTCCGCCAGGGTAACCCCAAGTCCACCAACAGTTCTAAGGCAGAGAAATGGGAAAGGAAACAGGAGGAGAGGAAATACAGAAGAGCAGGAGAAGAGTGACGAGAAGGAACAGTAAGATGAGAAGGCAGAAGACAAAGTGGAGAGATGGCGGTCGAAATGAGAAAAGACGGACGGGGAAAGAGGCACAGGCTAAACAGCATGAGGCAAAGGGGGCTGCTAGCAGCACCTCAGGACCAAGAACAGCACTGCCTTCTCTACCCTCACTGTTTCCCCTGTAGGAAAGGGAGTCCAAGTCCTGTGGAGCTGTTACCTGGATGAGCTCGTCCAGTTCGGAGGAATTGACGCAGGCGTGCTGGGAGATGAAGGTCTGCTTCTGGATCACGATGGTGGTCCTCTGGGAAATCTCCTGGGGCTGCTCCAGCGCTTTGAACACGGTGGCTCCGATGATCAGGTAGAGCACGACCACCAGGAAAATCGTGGAGACCGTCTTCCATTTCATAACATTAATGGCTGTGTCACTCTCCACCCGGGAAGCAAGCACGGTGGGTTTCGTGGAAAAGGAGAGCCTCGGTTTAGAGTTCTGAGCGGCAGATTTTGGATCCAGCAAGTCAGGTGCCGCCACTGATAACAACAGAAGAGGGGGGTTAGGTTCGAGGAGCCTGGAGGGGAATGGGCTAGGCTGTTCCCGAAAGGGTCAGCAAGGGCTGGCAGGACCGAGTGTCCTCCTGTCAGAGGCTCTGGAACCTGACCTAAAAGGGCTCTGACTGGAGAATGCAGGACCCTATATATGGTCAAGGAAAGGGGGCTGGGATTCTGCTCTTTGCAGCCATTGGAGTTCCAGAGGGAAGGAAAATACAGGAGTCATACTAAGCCACTTTTAAAAATACAAAGCAATGCCCAAAGGCTTTCTAATTCATTTGTATATTTATATCTATCTGTCCATCACACAAATCAGCCAAAGCATTTTGCCCTCCTAAGAGTTAGTGGAACCAAAGGGGAATTCCAAATGTGAAGGAAGGTTTCTAGTTTATTCTTGTTCTCAAGAACTTTATACCGAAAGAAATCAATATGAAAAATACCCTCTATCTTAAAATTTATAAGAAATTGCAGTATCAGAGAATTTGTGATCTGAATCTCACAACTCAAGAGAAATCGTATTTTTTCCGATAAAATACGGTGTAAGTAAAGCACTCAGTCCAATTATTTATGCTTGTGCTTCTCTTCCCAAGTGAGATGATGTGGCAGGATCATTCATTCTCGGACATGTTTAAAAACTGTAAGTCATTTCTAACCCTTGTGGCACAATCATAGATAGTCAAGAAATGAAGAGTCTTCCTTTTCAACAGTGAACAACAGCAAGAAAATAAGAAGAAAACTAAAACTTCGACTCACACCTTAGAGAGGCTCCGCGCAGACCTGACTACCCATTAGAGTGGATCCATGCGTTCCCTGACAAGTTCCCACATACTCTCAGGTGACTCGACCTCCATTTATTATTTATCTCAGCTGGTCAAAAATATCATTAATTGATTTTTTTCAGAAAATGCAAGAATGACTAGGCTTCCAATTGCTAAATGGGAAATAAGCCATTACTACAGAACATTAAATTGCAAAGACGACACTGAACTAGGAGTTGATAGAAAGGTCAGAAGATATAGGACTTAAAAAAAAACTCCAACTCAAAAAGAAAAATCAATTCAAAGTCTATAATTGCTAGATATGAGCAAACTTGCTGTTGTATATAATATAGGCTTTGTAAAATTATACCCTGAATCTGAAACACACTTTTTTAGATAAACATACAAGAAATCCCCATGAAACTGCACCTAAACACCCAACCACCTAAAATTACTGGCGGATACCATGGCATACAGAACACCAATTGTCACATGGCTATAGTCCTGCCCTCTTGCCTAGCACCACACTGGTTACCAAATTTCAAGTTCATGTACAACATCATCCTGCATTGGCCGCCTGAAAGCTTTCTGTATAAATCCATCCGAAGCACTAGATGGAAGTAGCAATGTAAAATCATGGCAGATGACAGAGCGTGCTCAACCTGCACAGCTCAGAATAATTCTGATAAAGACACAAGACCCCTGATTCTTGGGAGAGCTCTATCAGTCCTGCAGCCCATCCCAGCAATTCCCTAAGAGCCAGCCTTCCCCACACAGGTACGCACCTGCCTCCCTCCTGTCCATTCACCTGTTCTGAAAACAGCCACAAATGGGGAGACACCTCGATGACACACAGGAAGGCACCTTCATTCAACATGGGCACTCTGCGTGTGTTTATCACGTTCTAGTTTTCACAAGACATACTTTTTAAAATAGCAGGGCTCGTAATAGCTAAAGATCACTGTCAGCTGCAGACTCGCCAGCACCACCCCCACACTGGTTAGGGAGGCTGGGTGAAAATAAAATTCCTAATCTAGAGCTTAACCGTTTTTGCAAATAAGAATAACAGAAAAGCACACAGAAGCTTCCAGTTATCTCCCCAAAGAAACCTTGCCCAGCCTCTCCCCTGCATCCTCTGTGTTCCCTGTTCCTGCTTTTCCACATCAGTGGTCTCTAGTCTGCGGATCTGCAAGCACCAAGACTGTTAATCTTGAAGCTCCCAAATCCCAGTCCGAGAGCTCACTGAAGCACTGTCATTGTAGCCTTTAAGGGAAAGAGGTCAGATTTTTGTTTTGTTTTGTTTTTTTGAGAGAGAGACAGAGAGGGAGGAGGTAGAGAGAGAGAAAGAGAGCGAGCCAGAGAGTGTGTGTGTGTGTGTATTAAACATTACATTTCCTCAAGGAGTTTAATTCACTTAAGCTGTTGCCTTATTTTTTAGTAAGCATAAACGCATATAATGCACATTTGGCAGACAGAAAGGGCAGCAACTAGTGAAATAAATAAATACATAAATAAATAACAGCAGCCTTTTCTTTGGCTCTAACCTGAGGAACCTCTGGGTTTCCATCTCCAAGGTTTGAGAAAGCCCAGAGACCAAGGCAGACCCTACCGCAGGCTCTGCACCTCCAGGGTCCCCTCCCCACCCCCAGCTCATCACCGGGCTCTCCTCATCCTCCTCACCCAGCTGAGTCTCTGCTCCTGCCGCAACTGAACACTGCCCCGCAGGAAAAAGAAGCTTTTTTTTTTTTTTTTCAGCACCACTGTATATCCCACCATGCAATGGGCAACAAGTGTGACCAGGGTCACCATGCAACCTGCCGGTGGGCCACTCTTCAGGACTGACCCTCCATCTGCATCGCAAACTCTCCCCAGGTGTTCCGATCCCAGACACCCCAGCAGATGCAAAAACCCCAGGCACCAGCGGGAGAGGGGAAGAAGCGTCCAGGAGAGGCTCCAGGGAAGGGTTCGCTTACAAATCCAGATTACGACCCAACACTCTGGACGGGAAATGGAGATGGGACGCGTCCGCGGCGGCCAGGGGACCCGCGCAGCCACGCCTGGGCTGCAGGGTGGGGGACCCCCGGTCTCACCTCCTGCTGTGTAGCTGGGTCTCTCCCGCCAGGTGCTGGGAAGCATAGGGCATGCAGCATTCAAAATGCTTTTTGGGAAAAGAGGGACTTGAAGCCTTTTTTTTTTTTTCTTTTTGCTTTTTTTTTTTTTTCTTTTTTCTCTTTCTTTCTTTCTTTTTTTTTTTTTTTTTTAACCAACACGCCATTGTACTCACTTATTCCAAGACGGGCTGCGCGCTCCGAGCTGCACGGGCAGGCATTTTCCCCGGCTTTGTTTTACAAGGTGGGCAGAGAGCGGGGCTGGACGCGGGAGGGGGCGTGGGGCATCGTGAGAAGGAACGAAATCGCGGGAAGGAGGGGACACCGGCGGGCTGGGCAGAGGGCGAGGCCGAGGCCAAGTTGGGCTCTAGAGCCGCCACTCCCGCGCGCGTGCCTGCGGCCAGCCCGGGTCACCGGCTAGCGCGGAGCCCGGGTCCCCGCCACCCCGCAGCCTTCGCTGCCGCCGCCGCCGCCGCTGCCGCTGCCCCGAAGCCGCGCGCTGGACCCGGGCTCCGCGCTGGCCGGGCCGTGGGGCGGGCGGAGCAGCCGAGCGCCCCGGCGTCTTTGTGCGCGCGCCTCGCATGTCTTTGTGCGTCCCCGCCGCGGGGGTGTGGCGCTTTCAGCACCCGGCTCGGCTGGCCCCAGCCCCGCGGGGCTCCTTCACCCGCTAGCGGGACGCCCTTCCAGACCCTCCCCTGCGTGCACCCCGGGGTCGGCAGTGGGGAGCAGCCCCAGCTCACCTGCCACCTCCCTTCGCGCGCGCCCCTTCCCGCACCCTCCCGGCCAGCTCCCCATGCTCCCTTTCGGGCACTCGTCGCAGCCCCTACCAGGGAGAGCAGTGGGGTGTGGCGCTGGTTCGGAGCAAGGGTCCCCAGTCCCTCGCCTGTGGGCGTCTTCCTTGGCCTGCTGCGCCCCAATGCATCCCAGGGTTATGCGGGGACGCGTCCTCTTGGACGCCGAGAACCGGAGCTGTGTGAGGCTGCGGGCCTCCGGCTCTCCCAGTCTACACCTGGGAAAGGTTGAGGAGTCGCCGGCAACCAGCCCTCCCCGCCTGCACCTTCAGGGGTGCAGGACTTGGGCCTGCAGCTCTGACCAGCCGATCGCCCTGAACCGGACCGAAAGGATGGAGATGCAGCCCTCGCGGTGCTGGATCGAAGAAGTCCAGGGATGGAGAGGAGCGCAGAAACCCGGCCAGGTGCTCGGAGCGAGGCCCCCTCGCTAGGGACGGAGGTGGCTTGAGGAGAAGAGATGGGGGCCCCGACCTCAGCCTGACTTGGCGCCCCCGCCCCCACGGCGCTCCCGGCCGGGTCGGGGTCGCAGGTACAGAGCCCGCCCAGCTCGAGGAGGCGGCGCGACCACGATCGCTGACCTCACGGCGACCCGGGGGCCGCAGGAAGCCGGCGGGGGAGGTTAAAAGCTGGCCTCGTGATCGGTGGGTCCGTATGATGAGCTAGAGGTAGCGGAACTTTCAGCCCTCTGTAAACTTTCTCTTTCTTCCCACTTTCTCAGCGGGAGTCCTGGCTGACCTCCACCCTCCCACCCCACGGCTGTGGACCAGCGTTTAGCTCCCAGCCCCGCAGCCTGGCTGGAGTATTTCCCCCTGGCTGCAGCTCTTCCTAAGGAAAGCCATCGACGTGACTGTAGAAAGGTCCGCGCCACACCGATCCCACCACTAACAATACACATCCAGTGCCTCTTTCCCCTTAAAAAAAAAAAAAGACCAATATAAATCCTGCTCGAATTTAAACGTTTTGCTTCGCTTCTGCTCTCCATAGAAACAGTCCTTTCTAAAATGCAAATCTAATCTTCACAGCCCCAGACCTAAAATCCTCCCAAAGTCCCCAGGTCACAGGGAACTGCTTGAAGATCTGGCTTCTCTTTTTCATCTCCAGGGCTCACTGATATTCTCTCTCTCTCTCTCTCTCTCTCTCTCTCTCTCTCTCTCTCTCTCTCTTTCTCTCTTGCCCGCCCTCACATTTTACATGACTGTGGAATTGGATCGGCACACACACACACACACACACACACACACACACACACACACCATACACGTATACACATATAAACATGATAAAAGACTTACTTGGAGCAATTGGCTGGGGCATTGCGGGATCTGGTGGTCCAATTTGGCAGGTTGAAATTCAGCAAAGACCAGAGGCCAAGGGGTAGAATTTCTTCTTTTTCAGGGAGGCTCCATTCTTGCTCATAAATGCTTACTGATTACCTAGGATTATCGCCTTTCTTTAAATTCAACTGATTGTAGATGTTAACCATATCTCCAAAGTACCTTCCCAGGGACATATAGATAGTGTTTGATTAAGTAACAGTGCAGGCGAGGCAATTTGCCCCCAGAAAGCCATCGAGGGCAGCATCTTTCTGATTTCCACACTACTGGAAGTTTCCCTAGAGCCCAGGCTGCCAGTTGAGGTCTTACCCTTTGTATCTCAGGCCCACTTGGACTCCCATGTTGTGTGTCCTTCCTTAGGCCAGATCATAGGCTGGTGAGGGCATGAATTAGATCCCTGTTCACTGCATTATCCATAATCATCAGGACTGGTGCTGGATAGATGTAGGAGGAACCTCCAAATGACCAGGTGATTGCTGGTAAATAGTTGACATTATCATTTATCTGATGCCCCTCTGATAAGAGCTAGGACATCTTAAACACACATAGGAAAAGAGATGAATTCACTGTGTTCAAAATAATTTGCTTCCTTGACAGGCAAAATGATCCTCCCTTTTTTAACTTTCTCCATTTTGTTCAATAGTTTAGTAATTCTACACACACACACACACACACACACACACACACACACACACGCTTCAATCTGTCTGGTTCTTCTGCAGTTTAACTATACCTAGACTACTAGCACTGGTCCTGGGTATAGTGGGCTGATCTTACTGTGTGCAAGGGAGGTGGGAGGTAACCCACAATTTAAATACCCACCCTGTGCTTCCCTCATCTGCCAACTCTAGGTGCTGGATTGGCATTTCCCCTGTCAGGGAAGACACTGGAGCTGACCTCATTAGACATCACGCATGTATGGGGCACTCAGGATAAGGGTGGCTGAGGATGGACCTTAGAAAGAGGTTAGAATAAGAAAAGAAAAAGGAAATGTAAGAAAAGGAAGAGAACACAAAACTCCACCTTGTAATAATAGCAGGAATCACCCCCAACCAGCTAAAGTGAAAGAACAAGACACCAATGGACCACCCACAATGACTATAGCTTCACAATGAGGGCAACCCCTTCGGCACCTGCTCCAATACACTGGCCCCATGAGAGCCTTCTCAGACCAAACACACACTTGGAATGTTCAGAATAAGAGGGAAAGACCTGTTTATGTATCGCTGAAACTGAAGATACAAGGACATGGAATGATTTGTCCTGTTTAATTCTATGCCCGCATTACTCAAGGCTTACAAATCCCGTCACAGCACGAGGGAGGGTAGGTGGATTCTATTTCATCCATACTGCAGAATGCTCAATGCTATTAACCTTATTTTAATGGGTAGGAAACTGAAATATATAATGAAATATTACTCCCCAAAATCTATACTGCCCCCGTTTTGGTGCTTCAGAGTTATTTTTCTGACCCAGATAGCAGTATGAGGTCAACTGGACTTAACTTTCACGCTTATTTTGCTGTGTTACCTTGACCTACTCAAAATGTCACAGTAGAAACAATTTGTTCAGCGAGTACACTAGTAGTTCTTTTGTTTTTGTTTTTTTCTTAATTCCAACCCTTCCTGGGATTTCGAAGTCAGACTTCTGTGGTCCTCCTTCCTCTAACATTTCTGAACTTGTGAGTCTAAAGAATCACTTTGTCTCTAATTATCGGTTTCCTAATCTGCAGGGGTAATTTCCTGAAGTTACCTGCGATCACTGTAAAAATCAAAGTGAATATTATAGATAGGAGCTTACGCCTTACTGTAACAAAATAGTTGAGGTAATTTAACTTATACCTATGAGGCATGTGTAAGTAAAAATACGACAGTGAAAAGCACATTGCCGATTAACTGCCCTCCGCATGCCCTCATAATCCTCCCCCACTTCAAACGCTCTTACCCCATAGCTCCTTCTGCCTTATGAAGCAGCTCTGGAAATTTTCTTTCCTGAGTGTCTTTATTTGTGCTAACACTGCAAGTCATGGCAGGCTCAATGTCCTGGATTGATTTGAAACATTTGCTTTTAAAGGTTATTTTAACTATGGGAAGAGCCAGAAGTGCCACGATGCCAGCTCCAGTAAAGCTGGTGGAACAGAACACAAAGCAATGTTTTTGCAAGCTCGCCTTTCAACGGGTGTTCACTGTATTTTTGATCGCACCTCATGAAGACACTCCTGAAAGACAGCCTCAGATGGTAAGAATGGTGGAATAAATGTGTTCAAAGCCAAAAAGGGTGTTTTGCGGAGGATTAATGGCAGTGTGTCTTTTTAAAATTTAAACATTTACCATACATGTATCAAGCAGTTTTTGTAAACAAAAAGCGTCCAATTGGCTCATGATTCACTTGTCCAAAATAATATAGACTCATTTGGGGACCTTTTCTCCTATAATCTAAACACCTCCACCAGGCCCTACTGCCCAAAGCATCACAGAATCCTCAAATACTGCCATCCGGGGGGACCAAGCCTTGTACAAACTGGCCTTTGGGAGACAGTATGTTCAATATAGAGTCCCAAAAGAATTATATTCCCTCCTATAGTTGGCCTAACCCCACGAACCAGGGAGTTCCTGACTAAGAAAGACCACCAACAATTCCAGCCCTCTAATACACTTTCCCACTCATTTATCTTCTAGGTAGCTCCACTGCACAGCTATAAAATAAGGAAGAATAAATCAAATTCATCAATTTTTTAAGTGCCTACTACATCTTCAACAGGAGCTCTGAGAATATAGCAAGGGCACTACCTTTAGAAATCTTATAGTCCAGAGAGAGTAGGAATTGAACAAGTTATAAAGTAAAATTCTGAAAGTATCATAAGAATATGACTAGGGTCTTTGAGGGTGTGAAATGTTGGAAGCTTTCAAAAGGCCTATCTAAAGCAGCGACAATAAACCTGGGTCCTGCAGATGAGTATCGTATTGAGCACTATGTGTTATTAGGAAAAGGTGTGATGTAAGCTCAATGAAATGGCCAAAGGAAGCAGCTAGGAGAAGCTGGGAAGCAGCTAGGAGAGTGAGGGTTGCCAGTGGAGAGGGCTCAAGCCAGAGAGGCAGGCAGAGCACAGGCCCTGTAGAATCTGGATTTTCATTAATGGGACTTTGGACTCTTGCAACAATCTCCCTTGTAATGAAAATCTATCTGAGATATCACGTTGATATCGTATCCTGTAACAAAATGTCTCAGGTCATTAACTTATAAAAAGAAAAACTTTATTTTGGCTGACAGTTATGGAGATTCCAGTTCAAAATCTTGTCTTACCAGACATATTTATTTTAAATTACTCTGGTCGCTACATGCAGAGCAGACAGGAGGTGGACAGAAAATGTAAGCATATAGACAAAGAAGTGTAGACATTGTTGCTTAGGCCCAGGTGAGAGATCCATGATGACCTGGATGGTGGGAGAGCTCAGTGGAGCTCTATGGTAACCATTAGGTGTGAGGAATGGGGGTGATGGAGAGGAACTCATCTTCCTAGGGGTTCTGGTTGACTGCAGACTCAGCGAGAGAGGACAGTACCAGCAGCATGCAGGTGAAATATCCATATGTTGTGGTCACTCTCAGGCATCACCTCTGCTCTCACATCTCCTGGGCTTCTTGGGAGAAATCCCCAGTTGTGGACTGAGTGAGTCTTGGGTCTCAGCTCATAGAGTTAGGATTTCTCAGCCATCCTACTGGTTCAAGCATGAGTCTGTGACCCACTCAGCCAAATGAACTTGTGCCAGGAATTCTCAGAAAAGACTTCTCTCCACCCCTGACTTTGAACTTGAAAGCCCTGGAGGCTCCTGTGCTAACAGGAGAGAAGAAGGAAGGTCCCCGAGGACTGAGCCAATAGGGAGGAGACAGAGTAAAGATGTCCAGATGACTGACTATCTGTGGCCAAACCCTCATGTCAAACCACACCTGAGCTACCCATATTTTCTTGGTGTATAAACCAACTCGTGTTGAGATTTCTGACATTCAAATTCAAGAGCCCTAACTGAAATATTGCAATTCAGGGAGGGAAAAAAGTAACAAAATAACTTAGCTCTGTGATGGGCTCTAAGTGAATTCCTTCCACCCAAGATTCATGCCCTTGAGGTGCGCATTTCCCCTGAGAGTGTGGACTAATTTACTGACACACTTCTGAATAGCAGAACACAGCACAGTGATGAGGTGCTCTTTCCATGATTAGATCATAAAAGGACTGCCATCCTTCTTATGGCTTTCTTGGCTCTTGGCTCTCTTCCTCTCATGGAAGCCAGCAGCCTGGTCATAAGGCAACCCTGTGGAAGGGTAAAAATGAAGAAGCCTGGAGGAGATTTCCTGGAGTCTTCTAGCTACCATGAAGGTGAACATGAAAGCAGATACTTCTCCAGTCCATAACCATAGACAATGCTTCAAATCCAGCCTCCTGAGATACTCTGAGCCAAAAGTACCCAAATAAGTTGTTCCAGATTCCTGGGCCTCAAACCTGTGAGACCATAAGTGTTTCTTGTTTTCAGAAGGTTCGATTTGGAGAAATTTGCTATGCAGCAGTAGAGATCATATATAACCTTGAAGATTACAATTCCAAGCAAACCTATAAACATTAGTCTGACTTCAGAGGGATGGATA